CCCACTGGATTCCTTGAAGGTATGGTCACTGGAGGATGAGGTGAGCTGCTGCATCTTTTCATTATCAGCTGCGGAAATGCTGGATTGGAGCTGCTCCTGGGTAGAGGAAATCTGCTTGTCTAATGTTGCAAGGATGGAGTCTCTTGACAAGAGACAGAGCAAACTATCTGCAGCATACCCTCTGGTTCTTTTCAGCACCAGACATACAAAAGAGATATTTTGGCAGAGTGTTACCACAAACCTATTACTAAATTTGCCACCTTCACCATGAAAAGTTTCAAAATCTCACCATTGCTGTTGGTCAAGAGAACTTTGTATGGATATAGCTTTTAAGAAGTCATTAAGTTACCAACTGGTTCTTTAAAATTTTCTTGGCTGGCATCAAATGAAATTTGACCTTTCTGGACTCTAAACCTCAAGAAAGTGGCACTAATATGAATTCAATCAAAAGTGCAACACAGCGGTTTTAAACCAGTGCATTTAAACCTGGATCGGAAGCCAGGGATGATGATTGGATGGCATTGTAAATGGACTTACCAGCACTCCCAGCGGGGAGATTCAACAGAAGTCCGTTGTCATTGGGTGGTGCCATAAATCTGCTGGACCTGAGATGAATGATCACAAGTGGCTTCAGTGTGTTGATGTCCAGGGCAAACAGGCCCTCTCGCGTTGAGACGTAGACGGTGCCCTTGGCCATGTCCAGCTTCAGTATGCTGGTCAATTCGCTGGACCAAAGCTCTGTCTGTTTCTCCAGGTCGCAAACTGTGACCCTGGAAGTCAACGTGTGACATTGATGATCACTACAACCCTGATGGACGCAAATGCTCTCCAAGTGGAGTGTTGACACATTTATGGCAATGCCAGGTACGCCACACTGGGCTTTATTCACAAGATGCCCCTGTTGGATCATGCTCCCCAAATCCACCTCACTTAGGTCCTGTTCGTTTCACATGGATCTAGATCTGGATAAGTGATCCCAACACTGGTTCAATCCATCCACTAGGCAGGTTCTTGTGTCATATAAACCAATGGCTAGATCACTGATCACAAACCCAGATCTGTATGAAACGAAAAGGCCCATACAGAACACTCTGAAATGGGAAGGAGACTGACAGGTTTGCTACAATCACGGGTACGTTGCTTCGATTTTTTCATTTTGAAAATCAAGATGACATGAGTTTGTATTCACAATTTTGAAGTAACCCACTAATCTGTTATTTTATTCATTTATATGTCTTTCTGATATGTTTATTTTCTACTTGATGCAGTTCCTAACAAATAATTACTGTTTTTATATTTGTAATTTTAAATATTTTAATTTCACATGGTTTTACCATCTTCTTATAAACTGTAAATTGACTGTAATTTAGTGTTTGGCTGTGAGACTTTTTAGACAAACAATAAATAATAATAAAATAACAAGGATGGTAATCTATAATCTGTCACTAAGGCAGCAACTTCATTCTCACACTTTTTAATTTCTAGTTCTAGTTAATAAATGTATAATGTCTACAGTAATTGACTGTAATAAAGAAATTCACTTTTACTTCAAGATGGCCGCCTTGAGAATAAAGGCCAATACTTGTACTTGCATAATCCTGCCTAATATTGATCAGCCTATGGGAATCCACACATTGAATTCATAAATTGAGATAAATACTCTACTACATGTATGACAGTATGGAATGACTTTAAGGTAGTACATTGGATAAAGGACAGTAACTTACTTTGTCTTTTCCTTGTTGGTGCCGATGATTTTATGCCCTTCACAAGACAAAAAATATCTTGCCTTGCTGGCATCTTGCTCTCCTCTGTTAGCAAAAGTCTCAAAGCTGAGAGCGTTGCCCTTTTCATCAAACATCTTCATCCTTACAAAGTCACAGGAGATAAAATACACAAAGTTTGGGATGCCAGATGCTGTCAGTGAGCAATGCTTAGCTTGGCAGAACACACTGTCAAAGTGAAGCATTCCACACCTGAGGCCACGTTTTGTTTGTTAATACCAATGGGTTGATTTTACCTGGTATCCAGCATACATCTTATGTGGAGGTCCTTTACAAAGCAGAAATTTATTGTGGTTGACAAATTGGCTGCTGATCTAACTCACCCAAGAGTGGTTTTTCTCAGGGTGTCTTGCATGTAACTTAGTCTGGAATGAGGTTGATCTCATGTCACTGTGAACCTTACAAAATCAACCTGCAGGAAGCTTGCCATGCACAGTTTTGTTGTGTGTCAAGGCTAAGGAAAATGAATGTGAACTATTCTGTTGGAATACGGGGTTTTGTTACTGTTACTCAACAAAAACAGATTCCGTAGCGAATCACTGTGGAACATCTATAGCTGTTTTGAGCTCCTGATTGTACTTTATCTTACATAAAGTGACTAAGATAAGGTCCTGGTCGTTCCTCAAGATCATTGTCAAAGGCAAAAAGCAGACTGGCTGTAGGGTTTGGAGCACTCCAGCAGGAGCAGTCACTCGGCAGGTTCCAGCGATTGTGCAGGCTTCCATACCAAATCATACCCATTTCATTAGTCCTTCTGAGGACAGGCTGGCTGAAACTCTCTGCCGAAGTGCAGTCAATAAACTGTAACAGATAGTTTGGTACCAATTTCAGCAGCTAACAAACAAGTCTGCTGCTTGGGCACACTTCAGAAAAATGGTGCGCACACTGATTCTGACTTTGTTAACTGATACAAAAATATGCTTGCCTACTTACACACTGAAGTGCATTTTAAAGATTTCAGTTTTCCCAACCTAACACACAAGCAGTTTGTGGGTATACAATTTAGAGGAAAAATGCAACTTATTTAACTGCAATATTGATAGCCTGAACACACTTCCACCATTCAGACGATCAGTGATTTTGTATGCTTCACATCATTGGGTCAATTCCTCTGATTGGGCTTGGAAAGCGTCAGTACGTAACAAGACATTTTGTGTAGCAACTTGTTCTCATGAGGAAATTTCAATCTGCTGTTTCAATTCAGTCCAGGAAACTGCAACCCACTTTTCCCCACCATATCTAACTTGATCAAAGCTAGGGTGGAGTGGAGATTGCTGTAGTGTATACCTACCACAAATACATCGTGACTCCACATTGTCAGCAAAAGTACAACTGTCGCCTTGCCCACGTACAGAACCTTTTTCAAGATCATCCGCATCATTAGGATGTTGTGCCGCTCCATCTCCCCTTCAACAAACTTGGCCATTTCCCTCTTGGTGGCCAAGCGATGTTGTGACTCTGGCTGCCCCATGTTTCCATCAGTCCGTCTGAGTTTCAGAAACCTTGTTACATTCTGTGCATCAAAGACACAATCAGTAACTTCATTAGATAGAATGACCACAAAGTTAGCGATCAAAAAGGTAAGAAGATGAATTGTTTGTGGAACCACCTGGGAATGGTATTATTTCTAGCTGAAAGGGTAACTTTTGATACATGCATCCAAATGCCACCAACACTAATTTGGAAGAGTCGTTTGAACAATTTTGTACGTTTCTTATTGCAAAGCCAATGGCATTTGTCAACTCTCCAAGGTGTGCCCCCTGATTGATGTTTATTTTCACAACGGGTCATGCACAGCGGCCAAGTTCAACACACGGTCTGCCCCTACAGACTTCACAGACTTTGTGTGAGTGTGTATAAGTAAACGGGGGATGGGCATGTTAGGGCAGCATCAACTGGAGTTAAGTTGGGGCACCCTTTCAATAAAACAACAGTCCTGCCTGTGCACATCACAGCCAGCCACAATCCTGGACAAAATTGTTGGGACACTTGGCAATAGCCGTACGCTCTCCATCCCCCACCAGCGCAGACCCATAGACCCAACATTGAAAGGGGGTCTGAGGGTTGAAGGCCCAACGAGATTTGTTCAGAATTGCAGAGATTGTGTTCACACATCCTCTGTTGCCATGCCATCCCCTGGTTAGACTGATCCCCTGTCATGTAAATGATTTCAATGAGAAACGCTCCCCAAAAATTCAGGCACCTCTCAGAGCTGTACCTTTGAGGGAACACATTTGTCATTTCCAATCAAAGGGTCAACAGGGGTTAAAATCCTGACAGGTGGTTACATGTTGTGACCTTGGGGAGGTCATTTTGCCCGCATGCGCCTCTCTCCTGCCAGCGGCAAATGGGTACTTTTAAGGCCTGGAGATATGAAGCTGTGTTCAACATGTTTGCACCTGGAAGGGCAGCAATAGGCGAGTAAATTCCCCAGGGAGCTGAGATGGTCTCAGGAATGTTCAGATGTGGTGAGCCCCAATTTGTGGGGACATAATACATCAGTGCCTTTGAGTGACAGATACTGTTAAATCACTGCATGTCTTATAAAATTATGATGTCTCTAAAACCGCAGAAGCCACAAAGAGAGAATAGTTTGTAACAGTTCCCGTGTACACCTGAATATTTCAAGCTTACACTGCTCCAGCATCTACTGACCTTCTCATGGAAATCATACTGCCTCCTAACGCAGAAATCAAGGAAGTTGTCAGCTTCCTTCATGAGTCTGGCATCATAACTTGAGTTGATTGCATCGAGTATGCTCTGAAATAGACAAAAGGTATAAAAACTACCTCCAAGGATAGAGTAACAGGTCAGCATATCTAATCAACAAAACTGCTGATTTGTGAAAAAAAGTTGTTTGCCTGTGAAAATTACCTTCTTTCGTTCCTTCAAGACAAGATCTACAATGTTGACTTTGACCCTGGCCAATCCAGCGCGCTGGTAGACGATGGAGATGGCAACTTGTGACTCCCTCTGGATCCACCTCAAGTTCTCCGGACATTTCTTGCCCGCGACCATTTGGGCATGACTGTCAGCCTCCAATTCGTAGTATCTACTCATGCTGTTAATTACCAGGGTTGTGACTGTTGATGTCTTGGGGTCAGAGTAAATGATGTTTGATTGTGGGACATTACTATTACAGTCGAAGCTAACCTTGCAAGTAAAGCTGTTATCTGTAGTGGGTTCAAAAAAATCAAAGGAGTTTATTTTTACCGACAAAATTTTGAAACGCAGCCAAATGGTAAAATGTTCACCCCTGCCCCCCATTTTGAAAAGTTTGCGTCTTTTCTTTGTCAGAACTGGACATCAGCTGCTGGTCACTTTCCTAATGATTTCGTTTGATGATTTGTTGTTTAAAAAGCCTTCCCCATAGATGTGCCTTTTTAAAAGCACCCAGCAGCAAGTGGTTACGCTTTTCTGACAGTGGGTTTTGCTGTTATGGTGTACACCAACATATATAGCTTTGAGGATTTTTCTTTTCTTTTTTTAAGAACGTTTTTACAACGTTTCCTGAATGTGCTAGCGGGAAGGTAAAATTAAGTGCCACTGGGCTTATTGAGCATCTATTCAGCTTTCATTTACCGGTAACATACCCAGGACGGCTTTCCTTTAGACAAACAGGACGGTTTCATCTTTGGTATCTGACTGGTTGGGATCATTAGACCAAGAGAGAGTGCCAACTTTGCTACCAATGCATAAAACTGATTCGATGGTCAAAGGAGGAAAACACAATTATCCAATGTAAAGATTAGTCCCACTTGGCCTTTTAGCAAAGTTATCAATATCTGTTTCTGCATCTCTTGCCAGCCCTGTTGGTCTCACCGTAGTTGTCCCATCGATGGAGCTCATCATTGCAGCATGCGCCTCCCAGATGAACTTGCCTGGTGAAAAAGGAAGATTCATAAATACGTTAGACAGTTTGCCTATTCAACAACACGCAACATGACTGTGTATTAGCATTTGATAATACCCACTGCGTTAACACGCTCTGGCACCTGGATACCAGACAGTTTAATCCATCCCTACTGGTCAAGAGTCTGTGCGTGACGCGGCACGCAGAACATGCCACATGAACAACTTGCACAAGGAATATACCACAAAATGGACAGGGGTGTGTGGGAAAATGGAAGTAAAACAAAATCATTGGAAATCTATCATATATTGACTTTTTTGACTCTCAGACTAAAAGAAGGTACATGTATTTATGAATGGGAATAAATGTGTTTGGCCAGTCTTAAACTAATGATTACACTCAAGAGAATGAACGCTGATGATACTCCAGCCTGCGTGCACCCGTTCTCCTGAGCTGGTCTTAACTCCACATTTAAGACCAGCCAAGCACACATTTATTCCCTTATCCATGAAAACCATTCATTCCATAGAGCTGAACTCCCCTATGAATGAAAAATCAAAGCTCATAGAATAGCTAACTCACTTCATGTCATATAATTTCTCTTATCTTTAAAACAATTCTCTCATCCAGTATACACGTATATCTCAGTATCAAAATCCCTTGTCAATTGATAGTGGGTCTTTGAAACTCAAAATTTGTTGATTAGTTACAATGCCCTAAAAACATGCTTCTTTTTTATTTGATGTATTGGACAGAGGTGTTGTAAAACATATATGGACTGGCTGAATTTGGTCACTGGTGGATGTTTCTGCTCCCTAATGGCTGTGAGTAATCAGAAAATGGTCCTATTTTGGTCTCCGACAGGACCCTCTTCTGGTCACTCACAGTCACGCAAGGCACATAGATTTCCCCTTGTCACCTTATTTCCCTCAAGTGACCTCAAGCGCCCAGTTTCCTTACCCAGTGTACGCATCCATGCAGACCTTTGTCATTGGTGGGAGATTCTGCATCATGGCACCGGTCAGATGACCTTTAGGGGTCACATGAAGGTCAAGGGTCAATCCCTCAATGTCAGCAATTTGCTTGCGCAAAGTCCTCCTATCATATCAGTAGTTGAGAAATTAAAAGAAGACCCTATTTGAATGAATACCACAAACTTGTCTTGAATTAAAACAAAACGGGGGTGGTGTATAAAGGCAGGGATTTTTCAAAGTTCAACTCCTGATTTGGAGACATGGAATTCTGATAACGAGAAAATGTGGATAAAGTATGCACACAGTGGAAGTCCCACTTATTCAAAAGAGAAAAAGGGAATCAGCCAGTTTGGCATTCAAACAGTGCACATTAAACAAAGTGTGTCCAGAGTTACCGGTCATTTGGGTGCAGGCTATATGCCCAATCAGTGCAGCCCCATGCCAGTTCACACATGTGCTCTGATTCTCAAATAATATTGTATGCTTGAATACCAAAACAGGTTCCTTTTTGGTGTAGAAAAAGCGAGTATTTCGTATTTCAATCTTTGACACATGTTTGATAACTAACAAAATGTGATTTCGTTCATGTGTCTATGACCCAACTCTCTTCACCAGATGATCAAAATGGTCTGGCATCCATCTTCTTCATAGCTTTCTGGGCATGGTTGACTCTTGCTAACTCACCCATCAAATCTATATGCAGGCTGCTGCAGCCCTCTTCGCCACACCAATGGTAGAACTCGCAGGGGCTCTGAGAACGACTTCCCCAGGGCCGCCTTCCGAGCTGCGATCCATTCCCCGAAGAGCCACCATGGGTGGGGTCTGACTTCAGTTTCCCTCAGCACAGTGGCAACATTCCCCACCTCCCCCCTCCAGACGTCACCTGGCTCTCCTCTCCAGATATTGCTGCACAAAGTTGGTGATAATGTATTCTATGATTTCTGTGTTCTTCAACATTTAATTTTTTTTGGGGGGGGATACTCTTTAATTCAAACAAAGAATGAAAAGGGGCTTTAATGGTTAGGTTGGAACTTCCTGTCACAGGGTTAAGGTTCAAATCCTGGCATGAGGCATTTGCTGTAACCTTGGCCAAGACAGGGAAAGATGCAAGTGTAGGCCAAGTGACTTGCCCAAGCTCAATACGTACAGTGTTCTGCATGAGAGGATCAAATTTACCTAGTCAAAGAATGGTGGTACGCAATCTCAGCATCCCTTGCCTCATTAAGCATGGCATGGACAAAGGACAGATACAATCCAACAAAGGCACTCTCCGGGCCTTGAAGCTTCTCCAGATTAGCTTTGGCCCCAGTTAGCCAGACTCGATTCCTGTGCAATGAATCTTGACAATCCTGGCTGGCTGGATCTGTTTTAAGGCAAATACAAGCAAGCCTATAAAAAATTTTGTTGTGGTAGTCTTATTTTTCTGGTAAGTATTGTTCTATTTCTATGACATAAATGAATGAAAAGCCACTCTAGATCAAATGGCTGCCAAAACAACTTTCTCCTTCAGCAATGGAAATGTAATAGAGCTGCTATTATGTAAGGGATTTCAAAGCCAATTATCTGCAAAGCTAGGCAAGAGACCTTGTTGTGGGTCTCAGTCAGTTGTGTTATTCTAACCATGCAAAATACACTTTAAGATTCTATCAGATTTTCCAAAGCATGTGGAAGGGTAGGGGTTGAGGGCTGTATAAATTACTGGGTGTAGCTTGGAGTACCAGACACATAAAAACTGTAACCAGGAAGCTGCTTGCTTCCAAAGCCGCTTGTCAACACCGTATGGCAAAATGACAAATCTGCCCAACAAATCGGATTTTGGGCAAGTACAGTTTTTGGGGTATTCGGCAATTTTCTGATGTCTCCCAAATGATTACCAAGTCAAAAAGAGCAAAAAGTGATGCATGTGTGCCAGCTCAGTTTTCCGTTATTACAAAGTGATGCACCTAATAAATCTTGCTAACTTTAAAAATGCGTAATACAGAAGCTGCTGGATTGGCATAATGACAAAGTGACAAATTGGTTTTCTGTAATGTATTACATTTCATGAATGTGCACATGCTCTGTACAAACATATGCCATGTTCTAGACTTTCTGTTTTGACAAAGTGACATCCATATTTACTAATTGATATCTCGTAATTAAACTTGATTGTGAAAATAGAAATTTTGTGGAGCTTTTCATGTAATGGGCTATTGCATCAGCTAAAACTTTTGAAACCTTTGAGGAAAAGCGAATGAAAATGCCCTTGAACTGTTCACCCTTCGCAATCTTTTCGAAACACAGTTTTGCAGCTGTGTGGGAAGACAAGTCAAGTTTTCAAAATGGTTCAACACGGCTTCCCTATTGCTAGTCAATGCAAGATGGACTCCAAGACCATCTTCGCTGTTCATTACCTACGACATGGCCGGCGTGGCAGTGCAGCAATGATTCCACGGCGGCTAGCACTGCCTCACGGCAGCCGTACTCCGGTACAGGCTCCCCCCGATCTGCCCACTCATAATAGAGCAAAGTCCTCTCAGGCGTCTGCTCCACGGCCTGAACTTGCTGAGCAGTGACTGACCAAAGTCTGGCAGCCTGGATTGCTGAATGGCCGGCCATCATGCTGAAAAATGATACCACGTGCACAGACTTTAATACTCAAACACAATAAAGGTACATGTACGGATAAGTGCCAATAAACCCTGGCTTTTATCACAGTGCATCCACCATGGGAAAATTATCATCTTAAAGGAATATAATGACAAACCGTGTATATGGCAATTAAGCTGTCCATTCAAGGACTTGTCCTGATTGCTCGTCTGAAGGCTTTGTATAGGATGCTAAAGGGAATTGCCAGAGGTTACTGGCAAATATTATGTTATGTAATATGAGTAACCTACATGTTTCCATCCATTTTCTGCAGTTTATATCGAGTGCAAAGGACAGTTGGGATATATACTTCCTCAAAAAGGCATTTAGTTTGCATCAGCAGTGATACACAGAAAGAGAAAACATGGAATTGCTCTCTGGATATTCCATTTTAGGCATTTCCCACTTAGCCCGCCTTGATTATGATAAAAAAAAAATTCAGCCAAGCTCCTATGAGCGGTTTGTACAAAGTTAAACGTTACGCCCACCCTTGGTCATAAGCCGAAGCTGTCAGAGCCAGGGACTGCAGGGTGAGCTTGTCTGCAATCCCGGGGTGAACCTTCCTAGAGGCCACCTCGGCAGCCTCCCGAAAGAACTTCCCAGCCGAGTCCGGTTGGTCAAAGCTCACCATCAGGCGGCCAATCTCAACCAGCACCATGGCTCGGTGACGAGCCCATAAAGTGCTCTGCTCTGTCTCAGAAATCAGGTCTAAAAAGAGAGAGAACATACTCAGTTGAGCGCAGCCCATTGCAGTACCTTAAGGCCAAACAAAAAAATAGTTGTGTTTCCGGTTACCCAAGCCAATCTAGAGATCACACGGCACATATCTATTTATTCGACAAATCAATAAAATATAAAAACTTATGGTGCCTTGCCCCAGCAAAACTGGTGGGCAAAACCTTGCTGTATGAGACACCAAGGTCGTGTTTGATGTCATGGTATGTATAATTCAGCCTTTAAACTGTTCAATAAGGACGGAGTCATTACCGGGTGGATATCGTTTGGCAATCTTTATAAAGGATTCCTGGGCTTTCGTGCATCTGCCCCTGGTCCACCATACATAGGCCATGGCGTGATCAAAACAATACTTCACCAGCTTGGGATATCTGTGACAGAAAACAGGGGGAAAAATTGATGAACGGAAAATTTTGCTGGATCTATGCCTCAATTTTGTTTCTCCTCATATGTTGATCTCTTCCAAGGGATTTCTCCAGCACAGTTGACTCAGATCCTGACAAGTTGAGTGCACATCTGAGCTGCTTTGGGGTCAACCAAGGTGTGTGTTTGGATCATGCACAATATATGCTCTTCCTGGTGCTGATTGAAAGACAAAAAATGTTCAAAGTGTCGACAAACTCATGTTCTTGTACACTACAGGTAAACATTCAGTCCTAAAATAAAAACAGAGAAATGTCTGACATGACCATTTGCAAGTCTAATTTTTCAAATGGGATAATTCTAAGCGTCTGTATTCACTAATTTCCAAGCAATTTCATTTATCTTTTTGTGCTGCACACATGTATGTTTCCTTTTGTGTTTTTAAGGGCCCCCGTTATTGACAGGTTTTTGGGTTATCCCAAAATATACCAATTAGATCCACAATATGTATCTTGAGAATACATCAAGTACATCCAAAATATTTATTCTCGAAAAGGACAAATTGGTTAACACTTATCCTCACTTGGGAAAGAAATCTTGACTCCTATTGTATGGACTCTAAGCCTCTCATGACAGTCATCAAAGTCACATAGCCAAAACAAAAATAGAACAGATTACATTAAACCACGTGTCATTTACGAGTTCGTTGCTGCTGAGTTCTCAGACCCCTCATCTGGAAAACCCCCTTCCAAAAACGTTTTTGCCCCCCCCCTGCCCCAAAAAATCCCGTTGATGCCCATTCTACAGACCTCTTTCTCAGACATCGCTTGACCTGTTGTACATGTATATCTGTATCCCAGCAGCCCTTATGTTCTGACTGGGAGGCCCCATCCCTTTTGCTGTCGACGCTCCAGTGTGGCAGTGCCAAGCTGATGTAGTGAGCCAGGGCTTTGGATAAACAATCACAAAAAAGTTAGCACTGAGTACATGAACGAGGTAAAACGCCGGTGACAAAAATACATGTGTACTCCCAAACGAGTCAAGCTTCTTGATTGAAAAATTGGATTTTCCTTAATATTTGCTGCGATCACTCAGTGCAGTGTTAGTGGAGGTTGTTGACACTGTGGATGTAAAACAGAACACGCAAAAACAACAATCAGTCACAAAACAAAAAAGAAAAGAAACATCCTCTAAAAAAAAATCAATCCATATGAATAGAAAACAGAAAATTTATTTGAATTCAGTATTAATGTCATTCATTTTCATCAAATACTGGCATGACCGAGAGCCATGATAAGTCAGAATTTTTTAACGGTGACATCAGTCTGTGCCCCTTTCTCCTGGCTGAACAGTTTTGTGATGTGAAACTGCTTCATTTGACTTATGCCACGCAGTCAACTGCTTGCACCAGTATGGGCAAGCCAGACACATGCATGTGCATGTAGAATGCCAACATGTTCATCTCGATGTGCACAAATGGGCCAACTATGGAGACATACGACCTGGTAAGGGTTGTGACTCACAAACGTGCAGTTTGGGGGTTCGAACCCAGCTGCTGGTTACCTGTCATTACCTTGGATAAGTCACTTTACGCCCATTTGCCCCTCTCCACCCAGGAGTATGGATGGGTATGGAGGGGGACGGGGCCAGGGATGGTTTGTGTTGATTCACTATTTACACCAGAAACAATGGCATTGAAAATATACACTCCCAAAGGCAGTGTAACCATTTTTAAAGTGGGGGAGACCAGTTGTGAGACTACCAGGCATGAATAAGCTGATTTAACCCCAACCCCAGTATAACGCTTCCACCGCTAGTGTACATGCACGTACAATCCCCAGGGATGGTTTTAGGAATGTTTGTGACCCAGTGATTATAGGAGGCACCTTATGTTCCTTGGTTATTTTGAGCTATTTAGTTGTGAGCTCAGGAGGTGAAGAGTATGATCCTGGATGCCTGGACACATACCTGCTATCTTCCAGTCTGTTGTGTCATACACCTGGCAGCTGGCAGGCAGAATCCACAGCTTCCTCTCAGGGTGTGGGCTCCACTCGTAATGCCAATGCTTCCTTCTCCAAAGAGATTTGGCGTCACGCCTCAAATGAGTGGACTTCACATAAAAAGGAAAGGAAGGACACTGTGTCATGTTTTACCTTTGCCTGACGCTATTTTTGAAAATATGTACAAAATCTTATTAAGCCTTGTGAGAGATGAAGTTGTGAACTGTCAAGGGAATTATGATAATTTCATTAGTTTTTATCATAACCAAAAATGCATTTTCAGTTTGTGATGTGTTTCAAGTCTGTGTCATCTAACTGGCAAGTGCGACCTCCTTAACAAGGGGTCCTTCATGCAATAATCTACTCAGAATCGATGGTGAAAGTTATTTTTTTCATTTTAAGGTTATGGTTGCAGTAACTTTGGAAATTTTCCAGACGGTCTCTTTCCACTTTTTTTTGTTTTATGGGGGGAGGGGGAAGATGTAGAAAATGGATTTTTTGTTTTAGTGCACATCGGAAGAGAGGGCTGAATCAAGAGCACACCCTCGTTGGGCGGTAATGAGGAAGACCATGGCCCTCCCAACCAGAACAAAGTGCCCTCCCAAAAAATCCTGCTTGAAAAGTAATGAAAGAAGTGAATTATTTGGCCTATTTGATTTACCTTTCTTCCAGAAGCATATGAGAAGCCCCACCCCTCAGAAAGGTCGCAAAAACTTACAGGATAAAATTCCAAATTTTTTGGGTTTTCCCCCCCCCAAAAAAAATGTTTGGCCCCCCCCCGCCAAAAAAAGTCAGTCCAGGATCTGCCCTTGTTGCAAGTGCTTACGATCTCACCTTCACACCGTGAGGTCCCAATGCCTCAACAAGGTTCCACTTGATCTGCTTCTCAAGGATTGCCAGGTTTCTGCCAAGCCAGCGCAACTGTAAAGCAGCGAGCCTGGCCTTGCCACGATGCTGGGATAGGGCCGGCTTCAGTCCTGGGGGCAACGGAGTGGTCGTGGAGAAACCCTTTTCCATGCACAGCTCCATCAAAGTAGGGACCCACTGTTGCCTGTTTTCAATTTCCACTGTGCCTATCAAGAGTGAAGTAACAACAGTAATAAATAAAACAAAATTACAAATAACCCCATTGCTAAGCTAAATGCAAATGGCTCCAACAACCAAGGCAAAATGTGCAGAGTAGCTTGGCTGTATTTAACCTTCAATTACTAATTAAGACTAACTGTTAGTAAGAAAGCAGCATGGAACCTAATGGCAAAGAGCACAAGAGAAGTGCATTCCAGTAGAAATGCACACCTGTGTAACTACAGGATGGTCAAGGCCTGTGCTGCTTTTGGCAGAAAAAGGCCTTGTGGGTGTGATCTGTTGATCTTCATAATCGCTCCATTGCTCTGCATGATTGGTGATATCATATATCTCCAACTTTACTTCCCTTGTTTGAAAACAATTTTTGACAACCGTGAATAGATAGAAAATGAGATTGGCCGATGGTGGAACTACGGTCTCAAAAAATTGTACAATGTATGATCAACCTTTTGTACAAAGACTGAACGATAGCACAGATTGACTGATTACATCTACCATTACAACACAAATACATACACACCCACACTTACCTTGCATACCTAGTGTGGTCATTCTTTTCTTTTCTGCAGTTAAGAAAACTCAGTGAAAATACTTGTTTTTCTTGAACTAGGAACACGATTTTCAGCTGGCTTTTTGTACCAGATTTCCTTGACTATTCCTCTTCCTTTAACAACAGAGGACTCCTACCGCAAAATGCCTCTTAACTTCTTTTTCAAAGAAGGGGAAACATCCTGTGGACATGTGTAAGTCCACAGAACATCTTCCATTCCTGCATCGTGTGGACATCTTTTGTTCACAAGTCCACACTAGGTATGTAAGGTTAGCGCGCACATGTGTACTAATATTCAGACAATTTATAAACACAAGTCAATAGAAATTCAAAGGACTTCTAAGGGGAACAGTTCTAAAACAACTACTGCGACTCAACCAATGTAATATACTGTAAATGAATAATTGGACGTGAAGGATTGTGAGTGAGCATACATGTAACTGTGCACACCACTTGAGGAACAAACCTGAATGCAAACTTGTAAAGAGAACAAAATCTGAACATCACTGAGATATGCCTATCACCTTCACAGGACAGATGCAAGTCATCATCTTCAATGAAGGGTGCAAAAAAGTCCCTCTTCTGCTGTCGTAATCTTTGCCGCTGTAACTGCGTCCTCCTTCTATGGTTTGAAACAGTTGACTGGGGGAGAGGTGCCATTTGCACTGCATCACTGTCGTCATCACTGCTGACACTCTCTTCAGTTGTTGCATCGTCACTGACAGCCTCGTCTTCCCCATCCTCCTCCAGGACTCTCCTCTCAACTCTGTCTTCCAAATCATGATCTTCTTCCTTGATTGTTGACGCGATGTCCAAGCCCTCTGCAGAACGTGCCACATTGTCTGCCGAGATGCCCAACGAGTGACCCCTGTCATCTTGCTCCACAGAGCAAGAGGGCAGGAAGTCACCACCAGTCTCAGCCGATAGGGCCAAGGAGATGGACCGTTGGAACTGTCCCTTGCTCTGTATGGCAGCCAGCTGGCTTGCTGGGATGTCACTGGATTCTACATCCTCATTCATCACTTCACAAGACATTCAAAATGTGAAATTATTGACAGATATAGGCCTATAAACATTTAAGAACACAGTTACAAGAAAAAAGGAATCAGTACATTCTTGAAGTTTTGCTAAATGAATGTTGGCGGCAATCAGCATGACATCACCCATTTACTCTGTGTGATCCCGTATGAAATCTCAATTGGGATGAGTCCCACAAACGGACATCACTATTTTTTTTTTTGTAGAGTGGCAAGTGCTGGTATATCAGCCATTAGACAGAAAGTTAGAAAAGTTATAACATTTCCTAATTTAAGGAACCAGATTTAGCAGGGGAAATATCAAATTCAGACTACCTGTCTCATGCGTGATGTCTGTGTATGAAAAATTTTCCAAAACGACAAACTTTACATTCCTTCTTTGAAACAATCTTTAACAACCTTAAATTAAAAGAAGAGGTGCTTGGCTGATGTCAAAAAATCATGCCATAAGATCGAGCAAACACGCCTACATGTGTCATCTCTTCCTACCTACATGGCATGACAGTAACATATTCAACAAGCAAATTTGGAAAGACTTGCATATCTGGCACCGCCGTACTTTTCAGGAAGTATCCGGCACCCATCTTATAGCCTACCTTGTCAGACTGACTTGTGGTATGGGCTGTGACAGAAATAAAGATTAGGCCTTGGCTTAATTACGTGTAGATGGTGCTGCATTTTTTGTACTACGGTACTCGTGATAAAGACCCCTGGTGGGCCATGCCTAGCACCTGCCGGTGACCGTACCATACCGCGCACCCGTCGCGTTCGTCGGTGATCGCTGTAGTAAATGTAGCACGCCCCCAACCAAAAGAGTTGTTGCACAGGCAACGCGAAACCATGGATCGCTTGCCTAGGTACTAGGTACTGTTACTATTACTAAAGCTAGGCCTACTTTGCTAACGCTTTTCGATAACACAACACCCCGCTCCCCGAACTTCCGAACCGAAGGTTCCCGACGTTGAGGTAGGTCTAGGCCTACATGTACATGCACATTTAGGGCATTTAGGCACATTAGGGCTACCTGCGCTACACGTGCACATCTAGTTTCCTCGGCATTTAACCCAGACAGATGGACCTTGCCGAGTATAGCCTAATTGTAGAATTTGACATCTAGGCCTACTTTACCAAGAAGGCATGTATGAAAATTGATTGCACAAATGTAGCTTTGATATGAGGGTACGATCTGACAATCCAACAGCCAAAATGTGTTATGAGAGTTTGTACACGGCTACCTGTAAACCTTGTTCTGGAAGTACAGTAGGTTGGATGGATTGATTGTGGCCAATGTACATGTAGGCCTATAGTTGTTGCTGCACTACTGGAACTTATAAGTTTTTGAGAAAGTTAACAAAACGCAGTGTTGCGCACAGTACCCACGGTACCTGGACACTAGTTGTAAGCCTACAGTGTCTGATGTCTGGATGTATCATTAAAGTAGCATATAATGGCCTCTTAATGGAGTGACAAACATTGTACCGAGTTCTGGGAGATGCTGTCGATATAGGCACTTACATACAGGTATGCACCACATCTGTACTTTCATGTGATCCTGCTTGTCTCGTGCAGCTATGGATGAGGATGTAGAATCCAGTGACATCCCAGCAAGCCAGCTGGCTGCCATACAGAGCAAGGGACAGTTCCAACGGTCCATCTCCTTGGCCCTATCGGCTGAGACTGGCAAGACTGGTGGTGATTCCGTGCCCTCTTGCTCTGTGGAGCAAGATGACAGGGGTCACTCATTGGGCGTCTCGGCAGACAATGTGGCACGTTCTGCAGAGGGCTTGGACATCAGGTCAACAATCAAGGAAGAAGATCACGATTTGGAAGACAGAGTTGAGAGGAGAGTCCTGGAGGAGGATGGGGAAGACGAGGCTGTCAGTGACGATGCAACAACTGAAGAGAGTGTCAGCAGCGATGACGACAGTGATGCAGTGCAAATGGCACCTCTCCCCCGGTCAACCACTTCAAACCGTAGAGGCAAGACCAGGTTACAGAGGCAAAGATTGCGACAGTTCCGGCGGGATTTTTTTGCGCCGTTTATGGAAGATGATGACTTCGAGGATTTGTCCTGTCGAGGTAAAGTACGGTGTACACATGTAGTTTATTTCAGCAGACTTGCAAGGTCTTGATTCATTTAATTAAAATGTGACTCCAGCTCAATCATCTGAATTATAATGCTTATGCTTTAATGACCTGAGTTATTTGGCCTAGGATTTGTATGATATTATACAGTGTATTCTTAACAATATTTCTCATATTACAAAGAATTAAAACAGTTACTCACAGCAAAAACTGTGAAGGTATCAGTTGGAGTTTTTGCGTAGCATCCTTCACGACTTCCTCAGTGATGCATCAACTGATCATGCTGCTGGGCTTGTAGAACCTTTCCTGTCATCTGATGATGGTATAGTAGACTAGGGGACATGGAGCCAGCCCTAGTCGCTCTCAAGGGAAGACGATCTTGACCTGATGTGAATCACCTTACGGACAGCAATTGTCAAGTGTTAGGATTGGTTTTCATTCTTTTTGGTTGTAGTGGAGGTTGAAAACAGGCCACAGAGGGTCCCTACTTTGATGGAGCTGTGCATGGAAAAAGGTTTCTCCACGACCAGTCCGTTGCCCCCAGGACTGAAGCCGGCCCTATCCCAGCATCGTGGCAAGGCCAAGCTCGCTGCTTTACAGTTGCGCTGGCTTGGCAGAAACCTGGCAATCCTTGAGAAGCAGATCAAGTGGAACCTCGTTGAGGCAGTGGGACCTCATGGAATGAGGGTGAGATCATAGACACTTGCTGCTGCTGTTTACTAAAAATAACGTAGTCCTCTTTGGATATCTTTGAGCGTGCCATAGGCACAATAATAATAATAATAATAACAGGTCCTCATGTAGTGCTTTTAACGAGGACCAAAGCTCTTTGCAAACAAATGCATGTACATTTCCCTCATCCTGTCCCCCCAAACCTGTGGAAATATGCTCTATGGAGAATTTCTAAACTTGCTGCGACAGTGACCTGTATTTTTCACCATTACGTCTTAGTAGGTTATTGGATAAGGATTTCCCTTGAGGTATTTCAACAGTACATGCCCAAAATGAACAGCATCGGAGGGTATTTCGGGAAGAGCATGCACACTCGAGATCAGTGCAGCCAGTCTTGCCTTTTTGAAATATCGAACAAGCTCATTAGGTGACACAGACTTGAAACAAATCACATAAAAGATAAACATCTTTTTATCCGCCCCTCCAAAAAAAAAAGTGATTGAAAAATTACAACTCCCAGAGCACTTCAAACTTCATCTGTCAGAAGGCATGTCACTGGCAAATACATGTACGTGTATAAATTGTGACACGATGCCCATCCTTATCTTTCTATTTAAAGTCCACTCATTTGAGGCGTGACACCAAATCTCTTTGGAGACGGAAGCATTGGCAATATGATTGGAGCCCACACCCTGAGAGGAAGCTGTGGATTCTGCCTGCCAGCTGCCAGGTGTACGACACAGTGGAGTGGAAGATAGCAGGTATGTGTCCAGGGGTCCTGGATCACTGTGATAGGCCAACCCCTTCCTCCTACACTCGTAACTAAATTGTATCGAGTGGTACTGGTACTTAAAATGTGCTCACACTGAGACTCTGTCCCCAAACCCCTTCCAAGATGACTGGGAGGGAACTATGTAACAGGCACTTGAATGCCATTGATAGGATCTCATGTGAAGGTGTCACAGATTTGTATTCATTCCGATGAAAATTCTTTTGCCTGCATGCTTGTATGTGCCTGGCTTGGCTAAACCAGCGCGTGCATTTGGATGCATACCCATAGCATCAGTTGAATGAAGCAGTTTTCAATCACAGAGCTAGAGCCATGTTACATGTACAGTACCTGGGGGAAGGAATGAAGTTAGCATAAACTAATGTTGCTATATGAGAATGGTTCAAACACATAATGTCTCTCAGTCATGTCAGTGTGTCGATGAAGAAAAATGGCATAAATGCTAAATTTAAATAAATTTTTCTTTTGTTCATTTATTTGATTTATTTATTGATACGTTGTACATGTGTCTATATTTGGGGGGTTCTTTGCTTTTTTTGGGGGGGGGTTTGAGTGGTGGTTGTGTTTGTTAAGTTTAATATTACAGGGCTGTAGGCCTCCACTAATCACTGAATTGCAATGAAAAACAGGGAAAGCTAATTATTTACGTAAGAAGCTTGATTTTGTGCATGTGGAGGAACTTGTACTTTTTTATAAGAGAAGGTATTTTGTCATTTATATTTTGCGTCTTTCTGGTACTCGACGCTAACATGAGTGTGGTTGTTTTCCCTAGCCCTGGCACATTACATCAACTTGGCACTTCCACTTCGGAGCGGTGACCCCAAAAAGGGTGGAGCTTCCCCGTCAGAACAGCAGGGCTGCAAGGATGGGGACGTCCAGCAGGTCAAGCGATGCCTGAGAAAGAGGTCTGTAGCTTGGGCGTGGCCAATGAAATGCATATTCATTGGTTTTTTTGTGTGCCCACGTAACCGTAATGATTGTCATGTGTGAGGCCTAGCATCTGTAAGATAGGAGTCAAGATTTCCTATGAAACTAAAAAGAGTTTGAAACCAGTTAGTACTTTTATCATAAAGAACCTTTGTAACGGGCTCTCAACCAAAAGAATGAATAAGTTTCTGAAATATTTGTGATTTTTCTACAAATATTACTTACATGTACTTGCAAAAATCTCAATTTTTGCATTTAGAATGTGTCTGCATCTGATAGCTTTTCTATCCTTTACCCGTCTTGCACTTCAATAGGCATATCTTAAGTCCACCAATTAGCACTCACCTGGATTAATCCCATGCCAGTGCAGAAGTGTACTCAACTTGTGGGGATCCAGGCTAACTGCACAAGAGGAGTGTGTGGGAAGAGTTTAAGATAAGGTGAAGAACAGAATTGAGGCAGAGATCCTTGCAAACTTTTCATTCATCAATATTTTCCCCCTGTTTTCTGTCACAGATATCCCAAGCTGGTGAAGTATTGTTTTGATCACGCCATGGCCTATGTATGGTGGACCAGGGGCAGATGCACGAAAGCCCAGGAATCCTTCATAAAGATTGCCAAACGATATCCACCCGGTAATGACTCCGTCCTATTGAACAGTTTAAAGGCTGAATTATAAATACCATGACATCAAACACGACCTTGGTGTCCCGTACAGCAAGGTTTTGTCCCCAGTTTTGCTGGGGCAAGGCACCATACGTTTTTATATTTTATTGATTTGTCGAATAAATAGATATAGGTGCCGTGTGATCTCTAGGTTGGCTTGGGTAACCGGAAACACAACTATTTTTTTGTTTGGCCTTAAGATACTGCAATGGGCTGTGCTCAACTGAGTATGTTGTCTCTCTTTTTAGACCTGATTTCTGAGACAGAGCAGAGCACTTTATGGGCCCGTCACCGAGCCATGGTGCTGGTTGAGATTGGCCGCCTGTTGGTGAGCTTTGACCAGCCAGACTCAGCTGGGCACTTCTTTCGGGAGGCTGCCGAGGTGGCCTCTAGGAAGGTTCACCCCAAGATCGCAGACAAGCTGACCCTGCAGTCCCTGGCTCTGACGGCTTCGGCTTACGACCAAGGGTGGGTGCAGTGTCAAATTCTGTACGAGTAGTGTGGTTGAATAATTGCATCGAAGATGGGTATATTTACATCTTGGGGGAAGTCTCATTGAAGATAAAGTCACTTGGGAGTTTAAAGTGTAGCTTACCATGCCTGTCCCTCTTTATGTTTGTTATATTCTTAAAGTGAGTTTGTGTGCGTGAATTTTGTCGGTGCACAGCTGCTCAACCCTAACCTTCCCCAAGCACACAGAATTAAGCAGTAGTAAAGTGTTT